AGGTGGTGCACAACCAAAGTTGCGTTTAAATTGTGCGGTGCACAGAAATGTTACATTCCATACTGGTATGTATCCGTTTTATTTAATAAATTATAATTGTATATGTGTTTGTATATTTTACAAACACAAGACTGCTTCTTGCCAAAATTGAGAAAATATATATTAATGTAGTTGTGTATAAGACAAAATTTCATGAAAGATTCTACTTTTGGTATATATTTTGACTCATTTTGTTCTTTCGCTACACCTTGTCAACATATTAAATAATAGTGTTGCTTCGAACTTTATGATAAAAAACCCGATTTTCTAGACGTGTATACAAATAAAAATAGTTAGTTTATACTATAAATGAGTTTATTTTACCTGTATCGGTTTAAATTCGCCGTTAAGTTGCAAATACTTCTGTTTGAGGACGCAATAATTGGGCATTTCGCAACCAGGGCAGTTTCAGGGCAGTTTTGGCCTTGTTGTTGGGAAATCCACTAGGCCTTCTAGGCTTGGTTCCTCCGCCCCGCCCCCAAATCACCTAGTCCCAGTCTTTTCATGTGAAAAAGCGCTGAATATTAAAAATAAACAAATAAGACTAGAAGGCCTAGGTCTAGGCTGACTGTATGCGTATTTATATGCGTTGATTTACCGTTGAAAATATTCTGACCTTTTCAAATCTTTTCATGTCAGCGATCAACCAATCACAACCCATTTCCCTGTGAATTAGCCAATCAGCTTTGTCGACCCTCAGGCGGTCGACTTACATGCACTTTTGACAACATTTTCATCAGACCTACGTTTCGCCTTTCGTCGACCCGCGAATTTTGGTGCGGGCGAAATGTAGGTCTGTGATCAGGCCTAACAAACAGGTGACGAGTTTTACTATACAGTAGTGCGATGCATGCGAGGCATATGAGGCAAGATGCGAGGCACAATGCGAGGCATGAAAAAAAGTGCGAAGCATGCGAGGTAGAAGTGTTAGGCATGAAAAAAAGTGCGAGGCATGAAAAAAAGTGCGAGTCAGGCAGATGTGCCAGTGGCAGGCAGACACAATGACTGACTCCAAAATTTGACGATACTTAACATATTGAACATACTTAACTTGACACTGGACAAACGGACAAATGTGAACGACATTCTAGTTTTAATAACAGTTCTGTCTATACATTATAGTTTTAAATAACTACAGCACTCCAGTCAAAACGTCAAAAAGTAAACATTAACCTAGACAATGGCTCAACAAGTGACAAGCTTCACTAAAAATTATGGAATATTAACTATTTTGCGTTGTTCATCTGTCAATTGAAAAACTACGTTCATACAAACTCGATAAGGTTTTATAAACGAATTTCTGGGTAATTTGGAAATGCATTCAAACCAGGGGAAACCAATGGCCCAAGGGCAGTAGAAAAAAAGTCCCGTCAGGACTCGCGGGATTGCCTCACATGCCTCGCAGCCTTCCTCGCATCAGTCGCATGCCTCGTATTCCTCGCGGGCTTGCAATTGCCTCGCTGCCTCGCAGTTTGTGTGCACCCACAGGTGACCTTCTTCTACATATGCTACAAATAAGAAAAAGATATAAGATATATGTACGTGAGCAAAATAAAAACTGTCAAAAGCTCAAAATGGTTGTCAAAAACTCAAAATGAAAGCGACAAGGAGCGACTTCGATGTTTTGCCCGAAAATGCAAGCGGAATAATGAACGTGACAACCTAAAAAGTAGAAATAATTATAGTGTATACATATGCAAGAAGTAGTTTATGCAAGAAAATAAACCAAAAGTGACTGTCGATAAATTTATTGTATAAAACGTTCTTTAACTGAACCATACAAAGATATTTTTCGTAGGTTCATAAGTTCGGTATTCGACAATTCTTCAAGAAATGTTACACGCCTCCTGGTCTTAATTTAAACGGTAATTTTTAATTTAAATTCTGTTTCTTTTTAGATTTTTACTGTAATGTTAGAAAACTTTTTATTAATATCTAAACTACCCGTCTAATGTATTTTTCTGTTTGTTTCAATTATCTTAAATAATTAAATAGCAATGTTTTTAAAAGTTTACAATTTGGCATGAGCAGATGTTTCCCCGCGGTGTTCGTTTCCACCATTTCCAGCGAAATAAAAACCAATTTCTGCAATTTCCGCTTATTACGATAGTATTCATAGCCATAGGTGTTGTGATAATTGTAAACCCAGGGCTGCAAGATTACCACTGAAAAAGGAATTAATTCCAATTACAATTACTTGCTTTAAAATGTAATAAATTCCTGATTACAATTACTTGTTCTAAAATGTAATTAAGTACAATGAAAAAATTACTGCGGAAAAAAGGAATTAATTACAAATTCCTTTACCGGCAAATTGTTACTATATATATTATAATATCTTAAACAGTAGTTGTAAATAAAAACGGCATAAACTATGAAATTTGCAAGAATTTATCAAGAAGATATTTCAATATATTAAAAATTTTACATGCAAATCGAAGCATGTAAACTCTTAAAACTTTATTTGCCAATATTTGGCGCTCTGAGCCTCGGAACAAATCATGGTTCCACTTTCGCAATAAATTATATAGTACTTCATGTAGGCTATCATGTCATGTGCAGTGATCTCGTTGAAAATTATTTCAGTCACTTTTCTGAATTTTTGTCGTAACGTTGTATTTTTTATTTCTCACTTTTAACAAAATAAGAAAAGGAA